CCCGGCCTTCGCCTGCTGCTTCCACCTTCCGCCCGGTGCAGCCGCGGCTTTCGGCGCGACCGTCGTCGCTTCCCATCGTTGTGCTGGCCCTGCGGCGCCCGAGCCCGCAATGTCGGGCCCCAACGGGGATCTGGGCATGCCGGTGGAGGCGGCCACGGAAGGAGAGGACGACGATTTCGAGGAAGCAGGTGACCCGGGGGGCGTGGAAGCCACCTTTGGTTTTCCAGGCGTGCTGCCTGGCACGGGAACGGGGTGGGGGTGGGGGCTTGGAAGGGACGGAAGAGGCCCTCTCATCCCCTAGAAGGCCCCGCGTTGTCCTGGAGCTGCCTCAGAGGTGCGCGGCAAGCACCGGAGAACGGGCCCCCCATGGAAACCGTAGCACTGGAGAACTGTGGGCAACCAGCTGCAGCTTACAGATGTGGAAACTGAGGCAGCTTAGGGACGCCCACCCGCTTGGGATGTGCTCCAGCCGCTTCCTTCACCGCAGGAGAGTGGGACCCAGCTCGCTGGCCGGGTTTAGCAGAAAGGGACGACTGTGGGCTTCCCGCTCTGCTGAGTCAGCGCCCCAGCCACCGCGTTCCAGGTGACCCTCAACCGAGCACCGCGGGAGGGCAGGAGGACCATCAACCCTGGCTCCCCGGCGCCTTCTCGAGCCTCAGTTCCCTCATCTGTACTATAGGAATAGTGATTGGTGCCTTCTGTAGTACAGGGTTAGAGGAAACATGGCATGCAAGGTGCTTAGCAGATTCCAGCTGCAGTGTTAAAGTGGTTATGGGGATTAGGGGGATTCTCTTTACTGTACTAAGATTGGTGAACTAACAGAGGACAGGACTTAGTAAACGTGGGGTCAGGATAGAGAAGGCTTTCTGGGTTTGGTAACAGCTTTATTGAGCTATAATTCACATTGTGTACAAATTAGCCATTTAAATTGTACACTCGTATGGCTTGTAGTTTACTCAGAGTTGCGCGTCCATCCCCACAGTAGTTTTACATTTTCATTACTCACATTTTCATTGCTTGGTTTCTTGTTTTTTGAAACTAGGGATTGAACCCAGGGCCTTTGTACAGGGCTATGTCCCCAGCCTCACTCCCATTACCTTTATTTTTATTTTTTGAGACAGGGTCTCTCTAAATTGACCAGATGGGCCTTGAACTTGTGATCCTCGTGCCTCAGTTGCCCCTGTAGCCAGGATTACAGATGAGTGTCACACTGCCTGGCCAGGATCTGCTTTCAATAGAGGTAGAAGACCCCGAACTGGGGGTGAGGATGGGCTAGCAGGTGTGCGCTGGCGGTGCCGGTGAGCAGGGGCTGGATGTGTGTCGTCACTGCCGGGAGCCACGATGGGAGCATTGCACAGGGCCTCGCCGGCTGTCACAGAGTGGATGCTGGCAGGGCCATGGGACAGTGGGGAGGAGGATGTCCCGGGACAGAAGCAAAGGCTTACAACTGGAAAGTACCCTTAACACGGATAAAGCCAGGGCCCAGAGCTGACTGGGAACACTCGCCTCCCCAGTCCCTTGTCCCAGCTTGTGTCCCAGATGCGGAACACAAACTGTTGATCATAATGACCATCTATTGATTGCTTGCTGTGCCCAGACCCTGTGTGATGTCTTGGCGTATTTGAATGCTCAGTTCTCAACCTTTCCCAGAAAAGAGCTACAGTCACTTGCAGGGGTGGAACAGAGCTGGAGCTCAAACCCCAAGAGCCACTAATCACCCAGTCTGATTGGCTTCTGTCATCAACCAGCCGTGGGACTTATACAGGTTTCCGCTTGCTTAGGCCTCAGTTCCCCATCTGTACCACGAGGATGGGGGGTGGACTTTTGAGGTCAAGCAGACTGCCGGGTCTGTCCTGGGAGGGGACATCGTCCTCCTTGGGTGATGCTGCCCCTCCTCTAGAATGCAGGCACATTCACACCAACTCCACACGCATCACCAGCCACTTCCCCTCTGGTCTCCTGCCGGCAGCCTCGTGTGTCTGACTCATGGGCTGGCATAGAACTGAGTCCCGCAGTGGGCACAGGCCCAGACCTTGAAGCCTAAGGGACACTGTATTGCCCAGAGCCAAGTCGTGGATGGAGGCAGAAGAAGCATGTTTCAAGTGGAGACCTGGGAGGATTTCTTGGAGAAGGTTTTGTAAGCTGGCCCTTGAAAGGCCGTTGCACCAATGCATTCTGGGAGACAGGAGCAGAGGCGGAGAGGCTGGACAGTCAGAATTTCACTCATTCTCCCACCCATTCGTTCATTCAACAATTGTTTAAGTTGTGAGGGCACTGGGGAGACAGCAGCAAACATAAGATTGGTCACTTCACAGAGAATTACAGTCAAGGAGGAACACAGATGGACACATAAATAATCACAGTGGTCATTCCTGGTTGAGGGAGAGCCGGGGAGGGGCCAGGATGGCCAGGGTGTCAGAAGAGAGGCTGATCAGCCTGGGGTACTGGGAAGGCTCCCCCAGGGCAACATCCTGGAATTTGTCCAGGAGGAGAAGGAGGAGGAGGAGGGAAGACACGCAAAGGACACAGTGCATTCCAGCCAGAGACAACAAACAGCACATTCATGGGCCTGAGGTAGGCCAAAGCAAGTGGGAGAGGGAGACAAAACGCTCAGGAGAAGGTAGCGGCTGGCTCCCACTCCAGGCGCAGGACAGTCTGCAGAGTGCTTTACGCTGAAGACAGAGGAAGCCATGGAAGGGCTGAAGGGCGAGTTCTCTCAAGAACAGTGGCCTTGACTGCCAGACTTGGGAGCACAGGCTGGGCCTCTACGCAGCTGCCGAAGAGGTTCGGGTTCAGCATCCACCTGACCTCCCAGGCAGGACTCCCGCCGGCTGCCCTGACACCACCCTAACCCTAGGGAGAGCACATGAAGGTTTTATCTCTTCAAAGTCTTTCTCCTTTTGGAATCCACCCACTTTCCAGATGGTGACAGTGAGGCTCAGGAAGGAGGAGGGACTCGCCCAAAGCCCCTGCTGGAGGCCAGCTGGGGGACAGTGGGATGTGAGGGGATCGGTGAGCCCTGAGGCGACACAGGACTTGACTGATTCCTCTCCCCCCAGAGTACGCCGCCATCAACTCCATGTTGGACCAGATCAACTCCTGCCTGGACCACCTGGAGGAGAAGAACGACCACCTCCACGCCCGCCTCCAGGAGCTGCTGGAGTCCAACAGGCAGACTCGCCTCGAGTTCCAGCAGCAGCTTGGGGAAGCTACCGGTGATGCCAGCCCCTAGGCCGTGGGAGCCCCCAGGGCAGGCCCAACCCTGCGTCCCTGGGCCAGGCTCAGCCTGGGCACTCACCTTCTGGCCTCAACACCCTCTTGAAGGCTAGCCTTTGGTCCCTCCTGGGCCCAGGGGTGGGCTGGTCACCCACCCACCAGTCTGCCCACCTCCCGGGAATGCCCCACTCTGTCCAGGACCAAATGTCCACATTAAACAGGTCTCCCACACCACTGCGCCTCTCTCCTCTGTGTGCCAGGACACAGACCCCAGAAGAACTGGCAGTAAAAGGGCAGTCAAGGCTTCCAGGCTCTGACCACACACTGGTGGCACCAGCTGTACCCAGAGAGGCTAGGTGCTGACTGAGAGCTGCTTGTGTGCCCCTTCCCCTATCCACCCAGACAGAAGTGCTAGTGGGCACTGCACGACCAGACTACCTTCCTTTATTGGCTTTTGAGAGGAAACTCCAACCCCATCAGTCTCCACACAGACTCCTAAAAGCATTAACAGATCTGCACGCAGACAGGCTGGGCACGAGGAGCTCCTGCTATCAGGTCTTGAGGTGGCGCAAGCACAGAAGGGATGCTGGGGGCTGGAGCCATCGCCTCGCTGAAGGGTCTGGCCTTGTCCTGGGGGCTGGGCTGGGTGGGCAGTCGGCCAGTGCCGACACTGGAGTGCGCAGATTGCACACTAGCAGCGCAAAGGCTGGGAGGGGGGCACCAAATCGCCTCATGTTTCTGGACACAGTGTACACGAGGTCGGAGCATCCTCTGAGACAGCATCAGACATGTGGGGTGACTTTGTGGGACACACTTGGCCTCTCTGGGTGCTGGGTCTTTCACCAAGACCACCAACACCAAGACATGCTGGGCAACCGTGGTACTGCCCTTCCGCCGTCTCCATCTGGCCAGCGATAGGGCCGGGCTGGTTGGCTAAGGATCTAAAGGAGAAAACAACTACACAGCCAACACAGCCTGAGCCCATTTGCTGATGATTCTTCTTCATGTTGCCTGCACCCTGCCAGTGAACTGAGAACGGAGTACCAGAGCACCTGCATGGGAAGGGCCCTCACCTACAGCTCAGCTGCACCAAAGTCAACTGCAGAGAGGCCAGCACGGGGCTCAAATCCTGGCCTCTTACCGGCCCCGTGGCCTCTCTCGGCCTCAGTTTCTTCACCTGTAATTTTGAGGTAGCAAGCACACCACCTCCTAGAATTGCAAAGGTTCACAAAGACCTTAATTTACTCGAAGGCTATTTCCTAGGCCTGATACCTTATTAGGAGGGAAACAGGCCCAGGTGAAGAGCCTCAGGAAGGCTATGTTTGCCTTCCAGTTCTGCCACTACACTGCGGCCAGAGGCCGGGCACTGGCTGAGAGCTGCTGTGCCATAGCCAGTTCACCCAGACAGAAGTGCTGGTGGGCACTGTGCATCCAAACTACCTTTTATTGGCTTTGAGTAAAAACATCCACCACGTCCATTTCCACACAGACCCCTGAAAGCATTAACAGGTCCGGACCCAGACGCGCTGGGCTCAGGGAGCTCCCACTTTCAGGTTTTGAGGCGGCCCGAGCGCCGAGGGCGGGGTGGGGGATTAGCGGCTCGAGGTGTCACCTTGCCGGGGGTTTGGGCCTTGTCCTGAGGGCTGGACTGGCTGGGCGGGCGACCACTACCAATGCTGGAGGTGAACAGTGCAGTCAGCGCGTTGCGGGCGTTGATGGCGCACTGGCGGCTCACGGGCCGGGACGTGGGGCCGGAGCTCTCGGCTGCTTTGTGTTTCTGGACAGAGAGTACACTGAGGTCAGGGCTCACTGAGGTCTCCTGGCCGGCAGCAGCTTCCCCAGCCCAGTGCGCCATGACCCTGTGTGACGCACTCAGCCCTTCTGGGCCAGGTTCGGGAGCCAACAGCCTTGCCCTAGAGCAGTGACAGAAAGAGCCCGGCACTAACACAACTCAGACTCCCTCCCCATAGCAGGTGTGTGCCTGGGTCATGCTAAGCACAAGGGCCGTGGCTGCGGGCTGTGTCTATCAGAGGGGACAGAGGCTGTGTCCCCGAGCAAGGGAGGGGGGTCCAGCTCACCTGCAGGTTCTCAAAGTGGGCCAACGACTTGCAGTGGGAGAGCCGCGCCCCGGAGTTGCCATGACAGAACTTGCGGCAGACGCTGCAGATGTAGCCCATCACAGGCACCAGGAAGTCCACACCTGCGAGGGCAAAGTCACACACACAAGTCCTCAGTCCCAGCCAGGTGCCCGCCCACTCGAGGGCCTATCTACCCCATACCCAGCCTCTAGTGGGAGCAGAGAGAAAAAGACCTGGGGACGGGCTGACCGGAACGCAGTGCTGGGACCTGGGGGTCACCTGGAGCTGGGGCCACCATTCCCACAGGTGGGCTCGGAGCTCCGTCTTACCATATGCAGTGTTGGAGCTGTAGGTCTCCAAGCCCTTCCGCTCCCCTCCGGAGCCGTCTTTGGACCTCACCTGGAGAAACGCAAGCGAGGGCCTCAGAGGCCGGTCTGGCTCCCCCAGACCCAGCCCCTAGATTTCTGGCATGTGGGGGCTGCCTCCAGGGGTGCCCTTCCTACTTCATCCTTCCCAGGCAGCTCCCACCCCACAGGGGCCGCAATCCACCAAGTGTGCCCAACAGATCACGTGTGTCATCTCAGTGACCGCTCATAGCAACCCTATGGCTACACCCATCTTGCAAAAGAGGAAACTGAGGCTGCAGGGACATGAACTCACTTGCCCAGGGGTGGCCTGTGGAGAGGCCTGGGAGTGAACCCCGGTGGGCTCAAACCAGAGTTCAAATTCTCACCTGGGAACCCTCAGCTCCCTAGTTCCCACCCAACACTGCGGTGACCTTAGTCCTGGTGTGGGTTTTAAGTGACCAAGGACCCTCTACCTCACCTGCTGGATACAGGCCCCTTCCAGGAGAGACCAGCCCCAGACCTGTCAGCCCTGCCATGCCCAGCAGTGTCCTCCACCACCCGCCACGTGACTACCAGAGTGACAGTGTCTCTTTGGCAAGCTCTTCCCACAACCACCCTGCACTATAAACAGGCAGCCTCTGTGAGGCGGGGGCCAGGCCTTGGGCCTCACATGTCATGTCCCCACGTCTAGCACCAGGGCTTGGCCCTGGCCCGGTTCCCAGAAACATCTGTTAAACTGCAAAGTATCCAAGACCCGACCCACTCCTCATTTAGAGGCACAGCTGGGCCATTAAAGGTTTGGACTCAGGAATCTCACTTTTTGTTGTTGTTGTTTTATTTTGTCTTTTGAGACAGTCTCACTGTGCATTCCAGTCCAGCCTCAAATCACTATGTAGCCCAGGCTGGCCTCAAACTCACAGCAATCCTCCTGCCTCAGCCTCCCAGGTGCCGAGATTACAGGCCTGTGACACCACGAGTCTGGCATGCACCAGCCTGGCTAATATCTCTCTTCCTGCCAACCACTAGGATGAAATTCTACCACTACAGTGCCCAGTGCCTGCCTAGCACATAGTAAGTGCTCAAAAAAAGAAAAAGAAAAGTCAGCTGCTAACATCATTGTACCACTACCATCCCTTACTCTGCTCCTCTCTGCTCAGGACACCTTTCCCTTCCTCTGGACAAGTCTGAATCTCCACCAGGCTTCCAGGCCCTCACATTTTTCCAGCTGCTACTCGACAGTCAACCTGCTGCACATCTACATGGTCGCGTTCAATTCCGTTCATGCTAATAACACGGAGGCAAACACAAGTGCCAGCCTCAGGCCTCGCCCCCAGGTGGACTAAAGCCCTCCAGGCTGGCCATCCCACCACCAGCCTGCCTACTGCACCCTGCCTACTGCAGCCCACCCCAGCCACCTGCTTGCAGAATTCTTCCTCGACCTCGACCTCTTCCTCTTCATCGTCCTCCTCCTCCTCCTCCTCCTCCTCCTCTTCCTCCTCCTCCTCATCACCCTCAAAGCAGCCCACGGCATCCACTGTGATGAAGTGGTCCTCGTCCTGGCCAGCCGTCTCCTTCTCCAATGTCTTCAGCTACCCAGGGGAGAGGGTGAGGGACTCGGGTCAGCTGTGGGCAGCCTGGATGCCACTTGCCCCTGAGAGTCCCGGTCCCTCTGGACCTGCTCAGTTAGGCTGGGAGGAAGCCCAACCTGCCGTGTGACCCTGGCCGAGGCTCCGTACCCCTGTGGGCCCATGTCCTCTGAGGCAGCTGGGGTTACCTCCTTGGCTTTGTCCTTGTGCCCCTGGGACTTCACGTGCTCCACAAACTTGCGGGGGGTCTTAAAGTAGCGGTGGCAAACAGTACAGAAGGGTCGCAGGGACTGCTTGGCGACCTGGGAAAAGGAGGGCAGGCCGTGTGCATGGCAGGCAGCCTCCCCAGGTGTGACCCATGGACGAGTGGCCAGGCAGCACCCAGCGAGACTGCTCCTTCCACCTGCAGGCCCAGCACATCTGTCGTTGGCTGGCCTGGCCCTGCCTCTGCCCTGGGTCACGCACAAACGCAGCCCTTCCCTGTGGCAGCCAGGAGATGGGCAGCAGGTAGCAGCAAGACAAGAGAGGGGAGCCCCCCAAGGACCCGTGGGCCCTGTGACTGCAGGGCAGATGCTCTGCCCCAGCTGGGAGTGACTGTCACGTGCAGACAAGAACGAGGCTTTACTTCCGCTCTGTCCTGGCTCCCTCCTCCCCGGGCCATGGTGCGTGCAGGAGCCCTGGGAGCAGGAGGGCCTCCTACCTTGTGGTCCTGTGTCCTGCGGTGCTGGATGAGGTCCCCCACGTAGTATACCTGGCAGGTGTTGCACCAGCGCTTTGGTGGCGGCTCTCTGAATGATGACAATCAAAACAAGCACAGTGTGACACTGTGTGAGCTCAAGGCCAGGCTGAACTACATAGCAAGACCCTGCCTCAGAAAAAAAGAAAAACAAAACTAAAGCACGGAAAGCATCATGGGAGGAGCTAGGCCAAAATGTAATGCCTTATCTCTGGGCAATTTTTATCTTCTTGTGCGTTTGTGTGTTGCATTTTCAAAATGTTATACAATGGGCAAGTCTTTATTTTATTTATTTACTTATTTATTTATGGTGGGGATCAAACAAGGGGGCATTCCCTTTTTATTTTTTAATTTTTAATTTTCATTCCTTCATTTTTGCAGTACTGGAGACTGATAGATTGATGTGATACTACGGATTGGATCCTCCTGTTTCAACCTCCTGGGTAGCTGCGGTTACATACAGGAATGTTGCAACCCACTCAGTTAAATTTGAGTTTCACAAGGAGCATTTCGGTACCTTGGTAAATGTTTTTTAAAAGCACTAAGTGGCTGGGCGTGGTGACACATGCCTGTAATCCCAGCATCCAGGAGGCTGAGGCAGGAGGATCACTGTTGAGGTCCACTGGGCTACACAGGGAGTTCAAGCCCAGCCTGGACTACATAGTGAGACCCTGTCTCAAAAAAACAAAAAGTACTAAATGAAGAAATGTACTCCTCATCCAGGTGTGGCCAGTGCCATGCCTGAGGCCTCCTAGAATGACCAAGGTGGGCAAGGGTAGCAGACTCTCTGGAGGAAGGAAGGGGGTCACCCTCCCAGTGGGTGACCTCAGTTCTGGGATTCAGCACTTCAGCCCACTCTTGGGATCATTTCTCCATCTCCCAAAGGAAACCTACGCAGTGTGACTTGAGTAGAGCCAGCCCTGTGCCTCAGGCCTGGCCGGACGGACAGGACACCCCACCTGGCCAGGGGGAGTGGTTCCAAAAAGGCACCACCGCATCTGGTGCACTCAGTACTTTCTGCCCCTGTAGACACGGACTCTGCCTTCCTAATGGGTCACCGTGCACCAAGGCTGGGGCTGTGGGTGGTCTGGTCCTTTCCTACAAAATGCTGTTCCCTGCATCCAACTTATCCCTCACTTCCGCAGTGACAAAGGCCAGAAACATCGTTCCTTTTCGCACAAGCTAATTTTTGTCTTGTCTGGTGTTGAGGACCAAAGGAAGGTAGCAGGCTGGGGCTAGGGGTTATTTTGTCTCAGGAATCATTAACATTGCAGCAGGGCATTGACAGGCGACCCAGACTACCAGTGCCACGTCCAGGACACCACTGAGATGATGCTCTAACTGAGCGTAATGGCCTCAAAAATTCTAGCTTAATTTGTCCTTCAGCATAAATGCCTGGTCTGTCTTTCTGTTGGTTTGGTTTGGTTTGGTTTGGTTTTTTGAGACAAGGTCCCAATGTAGCTCAAGCTGGCGTCAAACTTGCAGCGATCCTCCTGCCTCAGCCTTCCAAGTACTACAATTACAGGCCTGCCCCATGCCCAGCTTCTTGTCAAGATCATTCTGTGCATGCAAGGTTGAACCCTGTTTTAACCTGACCACTTCGCACTGTTACAAAGTCCCTGGAACTCTCCCGTGTATTGGCTGGACAGGCCTTAACTGATCTAACCAATCTGCTGCTTTGTGATACTTTAGATCGTTCCTAATTAAGATTTTTCTACCATTGTATTAACTCAGAGTTCATCTGTGAAAGTCCCCGCCCTCCTGTGTCTATGACAATGTCTCCTAGGCAGAAGACGGAAGGAGCTCTTCTCTCGGTGAGAAACAGCTAACCCTAAGCTGCCCAAGGAGGGGAAGTGTATCTGTCACAGCGGCCAACCAAGAGCCCTTCCTGTCCCCTCTCCCCACCTGGGATAATTCAAGCCACAACAACTATGTGAAATTTGACAAAAGTCCCTGACCACTGACTCAAGGGACAACTGGCCAGCCTGTAAAAGGTTCTATTTGGTCTCCCTCTGGTTCAAATTTTGAAGTCGGGAGCTTTCACCATCAATCTAGATTTCTGAATTTTCCTGCAAGAGCAGGAGATGGGGCGGGATGACACACCAACCCCACACGGTCTCACTTCTCCATATCGCCCCCAGCCCCTGGAGGCCCGTGACAGCCCAGTGGGTCCTGCCAGCTCCTGCGGGGCCCTGCCAACCTCTAGGAGGACTACGTTTCTGACCAACTGAACCCTGTGAGGATGCAAGAAGGGACCTGGGGACACTCTCTAAACCCAGGCTACAGGCCGATCCTTGCCACTGCACCACCACAGCATATGTGCCAGGGCTCTGGGCCACAGCCCCCTCCTTCACACAAGATGGTCACAATGTTCCTATCTAGATGGAGCCTAAGGGGACAGGGATTTAGCTCAGTGGTTCCGCCGCCTGCCTCACAAGCACAAGGTCCCGCGTTCAATCCCCGGTACCCAAAAAAAAGTAGATGGAAGCTAGGGACACTGTGCTGAATCCCAAACCACACCCCCACCAGGCCATGGAGGAGCCAAGGCCATCCATAGCCATCGTCAGTGGTGTCAAGGGGCCCCTGGGAAGGGCAGGAATTAACCCAGCGGCAGCCCTGGCAGAGGGTACCTCCAGCACCTGCCCGGCGAGCCTGCCCACCCCAGCAGAGAGCAGCCCCCAGCTCACTCCTCTCTCTCCAGGGCATCCCGGGGCATGGGTAGCAGGGACAGGAGGCACGCCTGGTTCACGTGCTGGAGCTCCGAGAGCCGCTGCAGGTGCTGGGCCTCCGACATGTGGTCCTGGAACTCCTGCAGCACGAAGAAGCCAGGGATGGGCATGAGGGGAGGCCCCGAGCAGGACACAGCTCCGACCTGGGCTTCACAGCAACCCTGTCATCTCTGGGAGGCCCCGTGTGGCCTGGAATAGGCCGGGAAACTGAGGCAGGGAATGAGTACACACCAGCCGGAGCTCTGCCCCTCCCAGGGACTCTGACTACCTCAAAGGCAAAGAGCTTGCTGGTTCACTTGGATCTTCATGGCTCTGCTCAGGCCAGGCAGAGTAAAGAGGTAACCATAGCAACAAGAGTGCCAACACACTCAAGGCTTCAGCTACTAATGCTGTGGCCCCTTGGACCAGGCCTGGGCTCCGGACTGCAATATCAGGGCCAGGCCCACACAGCGGATCGGGGCTGATTTGAGCCAGGTTTGCCTGACTCTAAAACCTGCCCTGCTGGCTGGTCAGGAAACGCTTTCTGTTTTTGCTTTGTTTTGTCTGAGATAGGGTCTCACTATGTAGTTCAGGCTGGCCTTGAACTCCAAGCAATCAATCCTCCTGCCTCAGCCTCCGAAGTGCTGGGATGACAGGTGTGCGCCATCACGCCCAGCAGGAGATGCTTTCTGAGCAGACGCTGGGCTGCGCAGGGCCAGGCTCGGGGGTCCTCGGCAGCCACTAGGGCAGCATGGAAAGGGCCGGCCATGTGCCGGGCAGAGCCCAGCCCTCCCCACACCCTCGCCGACGGCAGCCCGCTCCCACTACCTGCTGGCTGCTGCAGTTCGCCTTGCAGATGTAGCAGAAGAAGTGAAGGCCCTGCTTAGAGGGAGTGCTGGTGGCCACGTGGGTGGCGGAGGAAGGGTCGCCGCCTGGATGGGGCCCAGGCGCGAGGGGGGCGGTGTTAAAGGCCCGGCTGTCGCTGCTCTGCAGGATGGTGACCTTCAGGGAGCCCCCGGAACCCCACATCTGCACCAGGAGCGAAAGCAGAGCTTCTGCCATCAGGCTGCTCCGGGCCAGCCGAGCCCAGGTGAAGATCTGTGCACACTGTGCCCAGCACATAGGGAAACTGAGGCTCCAGCTCTTAGGTGACTGCCCAAGCTGTGGCCAGAACAGGAACCCAGGCCTGCCAAATTACAAAGTCTAACCCATGCCACTCCTCACATGACAGACGGGGAAACTGCAAGGAAAAAGGGAAGGGCTGAGCCAGGGCGGGGACCCAAGCCTCAGAGAAGCTATCACTCTGCCCTCTTCCCGTTAGAGAGCCGACCCCAGCATGAGGGGACTGGAAACTCTTGCTCGGGGACAGGCCAGCTGTGAGGAGCTCTTTTTGTTTGCTTTCTTCAGACAGGCAAGGTCTCACTATGTAGCCCAGGCTGTCCTCCGACTCCCTGAGATTCTCCTGCCTCAGCTTCCTGAGTGCTGGGATGACAGATGTAGAAGGGACTCTTGTCACCAAAAGCACCCTAGGTCTTCAGAGCAAAGGCATGGAAAAGCAACAGTTCTGCACCACCTTCCATGCAGCCAGTCTACATCAAACTCAGTGGGGAAACAGAAGGGGACCCCAGGTGGCCTAAGGGAGAAAGAAGACACCCTGCTGCTGGGCCCTGGGGCCCGATGGGGCCTCATTCACAATGCTACCCACCCCAAGCATGTCACGTGTTCTTTTTTCACACTCTCCTGCATGTGGAGCACTGGCTGATGGCTCCTGGCTTGCTGCTACCCCGACCTGGGCCCCCACCAGCTCCAGCGACGACACTTCCTTCATGCCTGAAACAACAGGTGTGCTCCTTTCCCAGAGTCCATTTGCCACCCTGGGCTGTGAGGGACCTGGGCCAAGAGCTGCCTTCTCCACCAACAGCTAGGACGCTGAAGTCCCAGTGCGGACAGCCACAGACCCGGGCTCAAGGCCTGGCCCTCAGCCTCTGGCAGCACCCAGTCCAGGCTGGACGGTGCCAGAGGAAACACCAGGGGGCGACACTCACTCACCTCCCCCGGCCTCTGCTGTGAGGTGAGCTGGTGTTTCTGGCGTGGTGGCATGTACGGGCACCATTACCCGCTCTGGGGTGGGCACCGACCCCTGCGGCTGGGTCTCAGGCTGGCCCCGAGTCTGCTCCAGTGGCCGTACGGGCACCTGCGTGGAAGGCTGCTCTGGGGGCTGCTCGCGCAGCTGCCCCCCACTCACTCACCTCCCCCGGCCTCTGCTGTGAGGTGAGCTGGTGTTTCTGGCGTGGTGGCATGTACGGGCACCATTACCCGCTCTGGGGTGGGCACCGACCCCTGCGGCTGGGTCTCAGGCTGGCCCCGAGTCTGCTCCAGTGGCCGTACGGGCACCTGCGTGGAAGGCTGCTCTGGGGGCTGCTCGCGCAGCTGCCCCCTGCCCCCAGGCCTGTGACTGCACCTGCTTCTGCGGCTCTGCTTCCTTCGGCAGTGGCACTAAGTGCTCTAGGGAAGTCTGTGTCTGTGCCTGCTTCTGCAGCTTCAGCGGAGCCTGGGTGCCCGCAGGTGGCATCTGTGGTGGAGTCTGGGGCTGCACCTGGGCCTGGATCTGCAGGACCCGCGGCTGGAACCGAGGCAGCACTCGGGATTCCGGTGGCTCAGGCAGCACTTCTGGTGTCTGGGTCTGCTTGGGCACCGTCATCCGGGCCTGCGGCTGCACCTTTACCTGTGACTGCCCTGGAGGCCCCTTTTCCATGGGCATCTCTGAGCTATAAAGGATCAAAAGAAGATCAAACTCACATCTGCCAAGAGACCCCAAGAAAGGCCAAGACCAGGTTCTCATCCCAGTTCCACCACTAATAAATAGGCAAGAGACTGGGGCAACCCTGTGGCTTTCCGGGCTGTGATCCTGATGCCTCAACGTGACTGGATAAAGAAACACTTGGCAGATTAGTAAAACACACCTCTGGGTGTGTCTGGGTGTGCGGTGGAGGTGTGACTCTGGGGACTATATGTCAAGGGTCCCCAGAATTGAAGACAGTTTTTCCACAGACCAGAGGTAGTGATGAGGAATAGTTTCGGGATGATTCCAACACATTACACTGGTTGTGTGCTTTATTTTTATTATTATTACATCAGATTTGTCATAAAGAGAGCATGACCTAGACCCCTCAGATGCACAGCTCACGGTAGGGTGTGCACTTCTATGGGAATCTAATGCTACCACTGATCTGCAGGAGGAGAAATTCAAGAGGTGACGCAAAAGACAGGAAGCGGCTGTAAATACAGATGAAGTGGCCTCGTTCCTACCAGGCTATATGTATACTGACGTTAGACTGTGGCCCGAGGGCTGTGGACCTCCGCCATCTATGATCCCTGGACCTTTTTGCCCTGGTGCTATTTCCCTATTCTGCTTCCCGGCTGCTAGGAGGCAGCATAGGCAGCTTTACCCCTCTGCCATGATGTTTCTGCCTTGGAGCCAGCAAACTATGGACTGAATCCTCTGAAACGTATATTAAACCTCTTCTCCTCTAAATTAGGGGCATCAGTTATTGTGTCCCAGTGATGGAGAAACTCACTAATATAGAAAATGGATACCAAGAGTGGCACTGTCGCTGTAACTATATCTGACCATTTGATTTAGAAGCTTCTGAATTGGCTTGTGGGAAGTTTTTGGAAGTTTGGAAAAGCAGAAGAAGCCCTACTAAGCAGAGTGTGATGGGTGATTCTGGTGGAAGACGGGAAAACCAGATTGCTGATAGGAATTCGAACAGTAAAGGCCAGGCTCAGGAAGTTTTAGATGGGAACAAGGACTCTATTAGGAAATGGATTAGAGGCCCTGTATGTTACATTCTGACAAACTTGTCTTCATTCTGTCCATGTCCTAGGACTGCATGAGGTTGAATTTAAAGGTAGCAGACTCATTAAGCTAAAGAAGGAAACTGCAAGACAGCCCAACGTTCAGGCTGTGACATGAACACTGCCGGCTGCTTTCAATCAAATTGATAGTGAGAACTGGGAGCAAAAACCAGAGCAGAAAAATTTGAAAAACCTAAATTTTGGCCCAAAAGGAATCATATGTAAAGTTGGGGCCAAGGGAGGTGTGGTTGCTGAAGAGATCGAAGCCATAAAAAAGAAACCAAGTACTTTGTACCAGGGCAAGAAAGATGCCTTCAGGGCATCTCAGGAATCAGCAAGACCCCATCCATCACAAACTCAATGGTACAAAAGTATTCATCTTTCATTTGAGAAGAGCCCTTGGTCCCTTACTCCATTGGAGGGCCACCTAGAGAACTGGTTTCTGGGGATTCTTTTCACTGTGTTTAGTCATTGAGGCACTCAGAGACTGCTGCTGCCACGGTCCCAAGGGGCCTGGCTACTGCCTGTAGTGGTGGCAGAAATCTAGCATCATCCATGTGATGCTGGTTTTACAGGCAATCAGAACGAATATGTTGTGGGGGTCAGGGAGACTCCTACCCAGATATCAAAGGAAGGCCTGAGAGGCCAGGCAATATGGCCCTGAGAGGGCCGTGCATGAACAGTGAGAGCGAAGCTGAAAGTGCAGCGGAGAACCCAGGAAGCTGGACATGTCAGAAACACAGAACATCTGCAGGCTATAAGTGGAGCCACCCCAAGGTATAAGCCATGTGGGCTGCAACCAGCAAGGCCACAGGAATTGGGCTGCCCAAGCCCGTCAGAGCTGAAATCTCACCACAACCCGCCCTGGGTGCCTGACTTAGAGTCATGGGATTTAATGTTTGCCTGGCTGGGTTTCAGTCTTGCTTTGGTCTGATTCTTTTCTATCCTCCTATTCCTCCCTTTCAGACTCCCTGTGCCAGCCTACTTAGGATTGTGTAACTTTTTTTTTTATTTTTACAGAGCTAAGAGTTTGCCTTGAGTTGGAGAAGAGCCTTTGACTCAGACTTCTGAAAAATGCTGGAATTGTTGAGACTAAGCAAGAGATTATTGCATATTTTTATTATATGCACAAGATAGTTGGATCATGTTAGGTGAAATAATTAACTTATTATTACGTTTATTTGGATATTAAGGATGGTTTAGGGCCGGGGATCTCAGTGGTTCCGTCGCCTGCCTCACAAGCACAAGGTCCTGAGTTCAATCCCCGGTACCAAAACAAAACAAAACAAAAAGTATGGTTTAAAGAGATATGTTTGATGACAAGATATGACAAGGGGTGGACTGTGACTGGTCATGGCGATATGTCCATTTGATTGGACTAAGACACACATACCAGATTACTAAAGTACAACTTCTGGGTGTGCCTGGGTAGGTCACTGGCCTTGAGTACTATTTATGGTCCCTTGTTTCTTCCTCTCTGGCCCTTTTCCCCTGCTCTGCTTCCCAGCTGCATGAACTAAGCAGCTTTACTCTCCCTGGCCCTCCTGCCATCATCTTCCAGCCCCCGAGCCGGCCGACCATGCTCTGAATCCCCTAAAACCATGAGCTAAACCTCTCTCCCTTTAAGTTGTGGGTGTCAACTACTGTATCCCAGGGACAGCAGAGCTGACTAACACAGGGGCATCAGTGTCACCTAAATAAGCTGTAGAGGATTTCCCCCTCCTGCCACTTGCTCACACATCTCCAATTAGCCCTGGAAACCTGCCCACCCTCTGCCACTCTCTGAGGTCTCGAGTAAACATCTTCATCCCTCCATCCTGGCCCCCAGCCTGGCCTCCAGGTCTGGCCTGGAGCTTTCCCAGGTAGGTACAGAAGTAAGTATGACTTTCCACCACACTAGAGGTCATCTTGTCCCCACCTTCCACAGGGTCGGCCCCTGCCTCCCCACCCCACCTGTGCAGGGATGAACTCAGGGCACCCGAGCCCTGGCACCTCCCCAGCATCACTTACGTCCTTGACCTCTTGGCCAGTGGCTCAGCCACCTCAGAAGGTTCCGGCTCAGGTGTGGGAATGCGTTTCTCACTCGTGAGGCCATCTGGGCAGGGGAGTGAATCTTGGTCTAGGGTAGGGATGGACAGGGGAACAAAGGTACCATGGAGCATATGTACGAGCCCCAGAAATGGGGCCAGGTCTCAACCCCACCAAGAATCCCTGCCTCTCGCATCTGCCTCCGTGACCTGCCCCCATCACCCAATCCATGTCCCCTCTGAAGGGCCACCAGGCTCCCCACCTCCCTCACCTCTGGATGTGTCCATCCTGAACTCTTCCGCTTCTTCAGACCCCTCTTGGGGGTCTGCCCCATCTTCCACAGGCACTGTCTGAGAAGAAGAATCCTGCTTCCTTTCAGAAACCGTTTCTGACAGCTGCCACCCACCAAAAACTGCAAATTCTGCTCTGGCCTACAGTGGCCGTCACAGCCCCCAAGGGCTGCCAGGGCCCAGGGGATCTCTGGTGGGCCTGGCTCCCTAGCTGCTGGGCAGATGACCGGATACACCCCACGTCCCGTCAAGCTGGGGCTCACAGAGCTTCTGGCTTTCCCACACCCTTCTTCCCAAGGAGCCTTTGAAACATGGTCCTGATAGCATCTCTGGCCTCTTTCAAGCTAAAACTTCTCTTGGCTTCCTGCACGCACAGGTACTCCTTACCCCAAGCCTGAAACCATCCCAACCTGCACAACCTGGTCTCTGCCCCCTCAGCCCCTCGCCAGGCCCCCTTTGGGGCCACTCTCCCCAGCCCTCACTGCACGTCCATGCTGGGCTTCTCTGGCAAGACCTGGGCCTCCGCCCTCCCCCAGAGCCCCCCAGGCAGTCCTCACAGGAAGCCTCTCGACCCGAAACGAGGTCCAGACCCTTCCTGCAGACCCCCAGGATGCCTTCCACTTACTTTTGGTGACATGCATTTTCCAGTCTTAAATAGCTCATGGGGCATTTTGTACATTAACATCTCTCACACCCTCCCCCATAACCTGCAGGAAGTCCGGGCCACCTAGAACATCTGTACTAGTGGACCCCCATCCCACAGGGGCTTTACAGACATTTGCTCTGTGAACACAAGACTCCAGCCAGCTCCGGGCACCCTGGGAAGCCGTAGGGCCTGCAGCTTCCTTCCCTCCTGCTAAGCCCCACACACCAGGACTGAGGAGAAACACAACCTATACCCACATCAGGACTCTCAGACACCACCTAGCTCTTGCCCTGCGTGACACGGGCACCTTGTCTGTGAGTTGGGGGCCCAACGCTGAACCGAACCCCTTTTAGAAGACAGTGCCTTGTCTCCAGATGTGGGCAGCCTGAAGCAACCAGGTAAGAGGTGTCACCTGTACCCACGAAAGTGCTCAGCTATATCTAACAAAGCCAGGCATGGCGGAGCTGGGGCTGACATCCAGCTGTCCCCCTTCCCAGCCCCCTCTGCCAGCCACCACTCACCTTGCGATTGGGGGTGGTAGAAGAGTGGGTCCGGGTCTGTTTCTGGGGGTTTCTCCCTGAGAGGTTGAGCTTCGAGGGGTTCATAGGGACCCCAACAGGAGGCGGGCCCAGCAGAGACTGGCGAGTGGCCTGGGGAAAGAACTGCTGCAAATTGGGAGGGCCCAGCTGGGGCGGTGTGATGCTGGGGGCTGCCAGGCTCGGGGTTGCCATGTTGTAGCCACGGAGGTTGCCTACAGGCAGGAGAGGAGAGAAGAGGCTCTCAACACAGCTGGGTGGTGGAGGCTGGGGTCAAGGGTCACCCCCCAAAGCATCATGGGAACATCATGGTTAACTTCCAAGGGAGCCCTGCCCACCCCAGGGCAGCCAGAGATGAGAGATAAGAGACACAATCGCAGTCCCACCATGGGTGTTGGTGATGAAGGAGGTTGTGGAGATGGTTTTCTGCTCCAGCTAGGGGTCAGGGGCTGCCGAAAAGGGCAAATCTCCCAGATGCCTCCTCAAATCATCTTGAGCACCCCAGCAAACCCGCTTGCCCTCAGGCATGCTTTAGAGTTCACCACAGCTATGTGACAGACCCAGCACAGGGCCCACAGGAAAACCTGAGAGATGCTACCCTGAAGCCCTCCTTTCTCCAAAGCCTACTGTGAGCCAGGCACTGTACTAAGCAAGCACTTCCCATCCTCTGCGTCTTATCACCTGACCCACCAGGTATAGGGCAAGACAGCATCATCTCTACTGGTGACAAAACAGAGACGTAAGCCTGGCGCAATGACACACACTTGTAATCCCAGCACTCAGGAGGCTGAGGCAGGAGGACTGCCACGAGTTCAAGGCCAGCCTGACCTGCACACCGAGACCCTGTCTCGAAAAACCGAAAATATATGTGTGCGTGCCTCGTACACAGTAAGTATTCAGGTATCATTTACTCAAAACAAATACAGATACACACATGCAAAGAGAGCCAACCAGCTCTTAAAAACAAGAAGACAAAAGATAGAACACACTCAAAGAAAAATGGACAAAGGACATGGACAAGTCACAAAAAGAAAAATGAACGTTTAACAGATGAATGTAAAAATGTTCAACAGCACTGGCACTCCAGGAAATGCATATTAAAGCATTAATGACATAGCTTTTTTTTTTTTTTTTGCCAACCAACTTAGTAAATTACACAGACATATACATTTATAAATATAAAAAAGAAGCATATAATACCCAGGGTTGCTGTGGGCATGGTGAGACCGGCACTGTCATATGTGGCTGGTGGCATTGTAAACTGGTCCAGTCCTTTAGAAAAGCAATTTGGCAATATTTATCAAAAGCCATAACACATCCAACCCCTGACTCAGTTGTTCTACTTTTGGGAATCTAGTCCAAGAAAATGGTCTCAAACTATTCGTCGTATTATTTAAAACAGGAAAATGAAGAGAAATAGCTGAGGTTCAGGTAAACAAGAGTACGTCCCTCCAATGAATTCAAAATAACCTCAACAGATTGTCACACCATATGGTAAATGATCAGGCCCCTCTGCTCAAGGAAAAGAAACAAGACACTGTCTCTCACTTAGGGAAACCCCATTAATCATGCACAGCTCCCCAAGTCTTTGCCTAGAAAACATGGGAGGAAGTACGCCCAAACATTGGCTGGCAATTTTCTTCAGGAAGTCAGTCTATGGACAATTTGAGTTTTCTGACCCCCGCCCCTTTTTTAAACATCATTTTCACTTTGAAGAGGGTGACTTTCAAAATGGGTGAGACAAAGGGTAAATATCAGTATGTGTGGGTCCTGTGCGGGCCGTTTCTTTCTCTATCCATCCACATACGATTTGTAAATTAGCTCACAGGAATCTTCGCACTCATGTGGCAAAGCGATAATCATCCAATCAACTCCTACCTGCCGGTGACCTGGGACACATGATCCCTCTCTGGGCCTCAGCTTTTTGGTTTAGTTTGGTCTTATTTGGTTTTTTTTGAGACAGAGTCCTGCTCTGTGGTTCAGGCAGGGCTTGAACTGGTGGCGATCCTCCTGCCTCTGCCTCCCAAGTGCTGGGATCACAGGCAGGCACCACCATACCTGGCATCCAGAGGGCATCTAATTGGAATATGAGTATGGGTTGCTGAGCACTGCCCAAAGAACTAGCACCATGGCCCAGGGCACCTCTGTGACCTGACAGAGCTACATGCAGCTTGGGGACTTTCACCTTCTGCAGCCCCGGTGTCCTGAGAGGGAGAGTAATGAGGGTACCCGGAAGCCGGCACAAGCCTGGGTTCATACCTTGTAACTGCTGCAAAAGCAAAGCTCTTTGCAGCATGGAGCCATTGAGGAGGGATGTGGCCTGGAGATTCAGGAGCTGCTGCTGGGGCTGCTGCGGGGGGAGGCCGCTACGTGGAGAAAGTGGCCTGGGAGAGTTACTAGGAAAGTCAGACTGGCCCCCCCAGGACCCGCCTGCCTGCATGCTCGGCCGGCCCTGTCCACCTAGCTCTACAGCAGACAGAGGACCCCTCCCACAGGTGGAAACTGATGAAATCTAGGACTCCGATGACTACGGGGGGAAGGGGTCCTCACACATGGATCTGTAGGACAGACTGACACCTGCATCCACCCAAGCTGGGACTCACCGGCTCACAGCCATGGGCAGCGGAGGCGACTGCTGGAGCAGCTGCTGGAGTTGTAATAGCTGCTGCTGCTGCTGATGCTGCTGCTGCTGCTGCTGCAGTTGCTGCTGGTGGCTGAACATGGTAGCTGCGGGGAATAGGGGAGTGAGGCCCGGACGCCCTCTACTTCACAGCCACACGCCCCAGCAGCTTCCTATGCTGTCCGCTAAGCGACACCACATCCTCAGAGTCCTCCCCTTCCAGCTTCCCGAAATCCTACCAACACTCTCCCATCCCTACATCGCAACCCAACACACTCCCAGCCCCACCTCCCGGCTCCCAGGCAGCCAGTACAGAAGAGTCCGGCCCCTCCAACTCTGACCCCTGGGCGCTGCCGCCCTGCTCCTCTTTGCACCCAGGCTGGGTCAATAACAGCAGCACCAATGCCGGGCGTGGTGACGCACGCCTGTAATCCCAGCACTCGGGAGGGTGAGGCACAAGGATCGCAGTGAGTTCGAGACCAGCATGGGCTACATAGTGCGTTCCAGGGCAGTCTCAACTACATAGTGAGGCCCTGTCTCAAAAAAACCAAAAAAATAAGTAACAGCAGCGCCGTCCCGGCGGGAGGATGTCCCCGCCCCTCCAGGGCCCGATCCCTCCCCGCCGACTCGCCAG